TAAAAACAAATTAAGCTTAAACTTACGCCTGAAGTATATAAAAAAGGGCCATATCAATTATATAATAGCGGCAAAACAAATTACAACAAACATGTTTATTTATTCCGTTCGTCTATCAGCTGATAACAACAGTACAGTTGGAAATGATGCTAAAAAACGATAGACTTTTTTATTTTTGAACGGAGAGGTGGAATACTAATGATCTTTTTTCCCCGTTTCATACACTATTGATGCCAATCCAACAATGTCAAATGTTTGTTCGTGCTCAAAGGAAGAAAAAAAAAAAAAATTTTTGTAATTGAATTTTAACCAATTGACCAAAATGAGATGACTTTTTTTTTTTTCTGTTGTTGTATTGATGGAGGGAATCAAAAATGGCCAACATTTAACAAAAATGACCAAAATAAATATTACCAATGTACAGGTTACAGCTTCAGTCGTCTGTTCCGTCTCATATCGTCTTTTAGTCAATCAACCAGTCAAAGTCCGTAGTGCTGTTTCATATCGTCAGTTTTTTTTTTTTTCCTGTCATCTTCCGTTCAACTGTTGTTTACAAAATTTGATTATCAACGTTCACAGTAATTGTAGAAATGGGTAAGAAATTAGCGTTATATTGGGCAAAAAACTTTTAGGTATTAGCTTTCAGTGGTGTTGATGCTACAAGAAATGATAGACGCAACGTCTGTAATAAGGCTGTCGATTTTAACGGGGACGGGGACGGGGGGGACATGCGGCAGCAGTGACGTCAGTGCGGGCGGGCACCAACGCTTCATAAAGTTTCAGTCAGTTATCATAACGTTTACGCTGTCGAACATTTGCCAAAAAAAAAAAAAAAAAAATCTTTTTTTTATAGTTTAAGTATGAAAAATAAAAATTAAAAAAAAAAGCTAAAAGAAAACATTGTTTGATATAAATTTTATCTGTTGTCCACAGTTTTAATTTATTTGTTGTTGTCGTTGTTGTTAATACTATTATCACTGCCTCAGTTCTTTAAGAGTTGGCAATAGTTGACGATTATGAAAGATTTATACTCAACTGGTGGATAGTTGATAAAATTATAAAAAAAAAAAGTTCAAATGTTTTTTTTTTTTT